ATAATTCTTAATATTATATATACATACATATATTATTAATATAACCATATCATCACACTTGAATCTTAAATTCATTAAATTCCTTTATTTTTATTATTATAATTTTCCTGTATAATCACTTATTCCACATCTGAATATTCATATAATTTTTTTTTCTTTTGTACTATCGTATATGCATATACATATACATATACATRTTTATACAGGTTTCTTGTTCAGCTCACTGTTGTCTTTTGGCTACCTCTGCATTTACAAACAATAACAACAGGGTATTCCACATGTGCAGTGTATAAACTGTGCAATACAACAAGTCAAATATTGATGCACACCCACACACCCACACACCCACACGCCCACACGGGCGACAGGTTGGCTAGTGGGCTTGGCATTGTGTGCCCGACACAAAAACCCAATGAAAAGGAATTGAAAAATACATTTCGAGGAAGAAACCAACGAACGAGAGGAGGGTCGAAGTAGAGGGCACAGTAAAAAGTTAGTCAAAAGCAGCACGCGCCAAACAAAACAAACAATTTGGTAGATGCGACGAACGCAAAACTCGACAAAAGCAATTGCAATTGCATCAGCCGAGAATGAGGGCGGCCTGCGGCTGTGGGCGTTGCCATGGGCGGGGTTGCGGATGGGGCTGGGGCGTGTCAATTGTGGCACCACAACAAAGTTGTTGACAATGCCAAACACGTTAACCGAAAACTTTTGGCACGAAGATAAACGCAAATAAATTTGGCAACTTGATCGTTGCTTCTGTTGCTGTTGCCTCTGCTGCTGCAGTTTGTCTTGGCTCAAAGTGCCCTGGCACAAAGACGGCTAGAACCCGCATCGCAAACAACAGTGGCTGTTAACTAACTGTGTATGTAGCTGTGTGTGTGCAGGAGCTCTCATGCAGCTAGCCCGCATTTACATGCCATATAAATATGGCGCACATGGCCCAGCCCTGAAAACTGCCCATAAACGGGCTTTCATGGATTCGCAAATCTAGCCACCCACCTAAACCACCGCAGCTACCCACCGTGCCCTCAGTCAACGGGGAGCTCGGGCAAAAGCCACAAATTGACATGCATCGAGCGTCTCATATGCGGCCCGTTTTATTGTGTGGTCGATCCATAGAGCGCATAGAGCAAAAATCTCAAACAGGATTTCAGTTGATAGTGCTCGACTATGGGTTGCTCTGCTGTGAAAATCAATAATTTATTACTTAGCTCTACAAATAAAGTTGCATATGCCGCTTAACTAATCGTTTAATCTCAGTGCTATATCCCAAATATCAATTTTGTTGGAAAAGTGGAATGGAAACTTTTTTTTTCTGGCAAACAATTTCCTTCTTCAATTATTTAAATATAATATTATATAATGAATTCTCTATTTATCACAGTTTATATCGTCAGTCAATWATTATTAAATAATATATTTATTGATTTTGTTTTGTTTGTGTTTGTTTGTTTATTTGATGAAATGAAATTTAAAACTATTTTTTAATATACAATTCCAATCATTCCGTTTATATATAAATATTTATAATTATAAAAAATATTCAATATAGATATAGCATACATAGCAATACTACATCTGCACCTATCGCGTCACATATAGCTATACCTATACCTACATATATACCTATCATCAATACTACATGTATATTGATATCTATACATATATACTACTACTAGTATACACTACTATTACTACTATAGATTTTTATAATTTACACCACGCCCATTATTCAATATTGTGCGGAGAGAGACACTGAGAGAGAGAGAGAGAGAGAGAGAGAGAGAGAAAGAGAGAGAGAGAGAGCGTATCTATATAGTCGCTGCAGCTTTACATTTTTAGCAGCTTCCGCAGAGATTTTCCAACACATGACGGTCATAAGTAAAATGCCTCCAAGTCTATGCTAGCTCGTCTCTCGGCAGCCGAATACAATTCCAAGAATCAAGCTGAGTGCGTCTATGAGCTTATGGAAGCGCATGGGCATGAGCAACAACAGCAACAAGCAGGARGCGAAAAAGAAGAAGAAGACCACAGCAACTGGCCAGAACATAAATCGCTGTGCGGCTACTGTCTTGGCAACAACAAGAGCTCTCTTCGCCTAGCCTGCAGGCAATCCGCCCCGCCTCTCGCTCGGCCCTTGAAGCCAAGCGTCTAGCAACTTGTCCGTCGGATTATTTTTTTCGGACTACAGCAGTCGAACTGCTGCAGACAACAAGCACAATTCATGACGGCAGCTGCTGGAGCGAGTGCAGTTCTATGGGTTTGTGATGAAGTTAAGACAAGACTTATATGATAATCAAAAGGAACCAAGTAAAGGAGGAACTAAGGGGTGTGGAGTAACTGTTTACAAGCTACTCTAAATGCGATTTCTTTTCAAACTAATTCAAATATACTATAAAGTTAACTGAAATAAAACTGAATTTGTAGCAGGAATCGATCGAATTAAAGAATGTTACATACATATCCATTTTAATGAATCCTGCTCAGAAAGGAATTTCAATTTTGAATTCTCCTAAAGTAAAATATACCGCGAACTTCTCAATCACTTCTCGCTCGTATGTCTGGCCCACGCTTTTGGTAGGGACAGTTCCATATTGGCTTGTTATTGACAGCATTGTTGTTCAGATTTGTATTTTTTCTCTGCTTTCCTTGCTTCTGCTTGTCTCGTTTTTTTTTTTTTTTTTTTTTTTTCGAGGAACGAGTAAAGCTGTCGACCAGTCGCACAGTTAGTCACCCAGCCACAAAGGACAACAGATCCAAGTCATCCAGAGCTAAATATATCTAGTACATACGTATATATTAAACGGCATTAGGCACATTCAATCTCGGTCAGCCAATAAGCAATTTTCGGTCACTTTTATTGGACACAAAAACTGTTAGAAAAGCTTCTGCTGCCTCTACTCTACACGCCCTACCACTACCCCTTACCCCTTACCCACTCTCTCCAACTGTTTCTCTTGCCTGCGGCGAACGTTGCGTATACGTAATGTGGCAGGAAATGAAAAATGTAATTAAAAAAGTTTCTTTTGTTGGCCAAAAAGTGTGCTCTGTGTGGAGTGGGGGCCGTCGGTTGGCAGCAAAGGCGTCTCCGAAGGGGTAAAGGGGGGGGGGGTGCTGGGTGTTGGTTACAGAAAAGCCATGTGAACAATTTACGCTGCATTTTTAAATGCCAAGTACGGCCGTCGTGTGACATTCAGCTGCTCAAACTCTTTTCGCTCACTTTTTGTGATGGGCATTAAAGTTTTGCAATTGAGTTTGTAAAAGCTTTAAACGTTCGCAGTCTCTGAAAATATTAAACTTCTATTTATGTTATCTATGCGATAGTCTATTTGGAATTATATAGAAAATAAAATTCAAATTAAATTAATATTATCATTTATAATAATCAACGGACATAGAACTAGGCTACTTAAATTATATGGATTTATATATATAAAATAATTGTCTGTTTAGGTTTGAAATAACATTCATATACCTTTTAGCATAATAAGTTTAATTTTAGTTTTACTCAACTCTTAGTCCTTCAGGTAGTTTGGCAGTTGTCATACAACTATCCTTAAATTAGTGATTTGAAATTATAGTTTCAGCATTAAAATATATATTAAATTTTGCTTTAAATCTTTTCGGCATTGAGTCGCCTTGCATTTAATACGCGTGCAAAATATTATTAAAATCATGATAGTTGCCATAGGGATGGATTATTTGTATAGAAATCTAATGCTTATCTCGTGTATATCAGCAAAGGATATTAAATATTCGACAGCTCAAAGCTGTCTGTTATTTCTTGTTAGTTTTATGTGTGCCACTTACACACATAGACACACGCTCATATGCACACACGCACACACATGCGAGTGTGCATGTTAAAAGTGCTCATTAAAACATATCAACAAGCTTTATAGCCGCTTCAACATCGACGTCGGCTGCGCTGTCGCTGTCTCTTTTCTTTGTCGACGTCGCCGTCGCCATCGCCATCCCACCGACAGCAGTTAAATTCATTCATAAACTACGTGACAAAACGAACGGAAATGTAGAAGCGGAAATTGCCAACAAACACACAAACAAACACATACACTCACACACACACACACTGGTGCACACACTCATAGACAACAGCATGCGGTTGCTCACATGCTCACACATTGACACACTTGCACCCAGACACTCCGTCAGTCTGCCTCGCATGTCACTCTGTCATTCATTCAGTCATTCAGTCAGCCAGACAGTCCGCCAATCCGTCGATCCATCAGTCCGTCGTTCGGTTTGTCAGGCAGCCTGCTGCGAGGTTCAACGTGCGCGAAATATTTTCGCACTCGCCGCCTCTGCCTGGTATTTACAATCAATTTTTAAAATGCCTGAAAATACCGCAAGCCGCGCTCTAAATACCCTGCAAAGCCTCAACCCGTAAATTTCATGCCAGTGATAAGCTTGAATCAATGAAATTAGTAAATAAACCAAAATTGTGCAAATTGTTATTAAATATACAAATCAATTATCAACTAAACAAACGACATGAAACGGGAAACAAATGTATTTTATTATTTATATATAAAT